CTTTGTAATGATCTTTTGCTCTTTTCATGGTTGATATCCTGGATTTAATCCCACATCTGGTTGTTGATTATCAGTGTCTCAAACCCAGAAAATCATCTGAGTTTGGAAGAAGTCTTGGCATCATTATTGTTGTTAGATGGATCCTAGCTGAAAGTGCAGAATACCAGAGAAATAGGTATGCTTTATTGAATGTGCAGATGCATTTCACAAATTTTGCCTTAAATTTATAAGAATGGGAATCCTTGAATTCTTCGTTATGGTCATACAAAACCTGTACAGATCAAGATACTATTGTCTGGACAAAGCAAGGTAATACTACGTGGGTTAAAGTCAGGAAGTGTGTGCATCAGGGTTGTATCCTCTCTCCATACCTATTCAACCTTCATGTTAAGTGAATCATTTGAGAAGCTGGACTCTGAAGAAGAATGTGGCATCAGGATCAGATTCATCAACAGACTGCATTATGCAGATGACATAACCTTGCCTGTTGAAAGTGAGGAGGACTTGAACTACTTGCTGCAGAAGATCAAAGACTATAACCTTCAGTATAGATTACATCTCAATACAAAGAAAAGAAAAATTTTCCCCACTGGTCTAACAGGCAATTTCATAATGTATGGAGAAAAGATTTAGCGACTTCATCTTATTTGGACCCACAGTCATAATACTTGGTACTAGCAGTCAGATCAGGAGACATATTACATAGGTAAAGTCTGTAGTAAGGGACCTTTCAAAATTACTGAGGAGCAACAATGTCAGTTTGAGGACTAAGGTGTGCCCGATTCAGTCTATGGCTTTTTAAAGTCACTTGATCTGCATCTTGAGAGCTGGATAGTGAATAAGGACGACAGAAGAAGAATTTATGTTTTTGAGTTGTGTTGAAGAAGAATACTGAAAATCCCAAGAACTGACAAGAAAGAACAAACATGTCTTAGAGAAAGCACAGGCAGAGTACTTCTTGGAGGCTAATGTGCAAACTATGTCTCATATGCTTTAGGCATATTGTTATGTGTGGTTGAGTCAACTGTTACTCATAGCAACCCTTTGCACAATAGCTCTGGACCCTGCTATATCCTGAGCCAATCTCAAGATGTCTATGACACATTTCCCTTCATTATCACAGTTACTGTATCAGTCTATCTCACCCGGAATCTTCTATCCTGTACTGTCCCTTGACCCTTTCAAGTGTGATGGCTTTCTCCAAAGACTGGCTGGCTACATGGTCAAAGTATGTGATTTGGAGTCAGTCTCAAAATCCTTGCCTCCAAGGAGCAGCTTGGTTTCACCCTCTCTAGGACAGACTTATTTGTTTTCATCATGGTCCATGGTATGCTCAGTACTCTTCTCCAGCATCACAACTCAAACGCTTCAGTTCTTCTGTCATTCTTAGTCATTGATGCATAGAAAGTCATTGTGAAGACCATGGCCTGGATCTTGGGCACCTCAGGCATGTTGTTGTGGAACTGACTTATAGCTGACCTTTGGGTGGGTTTCTTTGCCCATCTACCCATGGAACCGTGTGCCTTTGAGATTGCAGTGCAGCTCCTTGCCATTAGGCTACCATGGCTAATAGATGCTATTCCTTGGTGCAAGACATCACTCTTGGAAAGGTGGAGGATCGGCAGAAGAGAGGCAGACCCTCAACCAGATGGATTGACATTATGACTGCTGCAGTGGGCTCAAGGTTGTCAGAGGTAATGAGGATGGTACAGGATAGGACAGAGTTCAGATTTGTTGTTCAAGGGTCACTATAGGTCTTACTTGATGGTACCTAACAACAATTACATATATTTTATGTATAATACACATTGTTGTTGATAGATGCTGCCTAGTGACTGTGAACAAAACTGCATCCAAACCTGTGCCAGTACCTGTGTCAGTCCATCTTGCCGAGGGTCCGTCTTGCTCACTCTCTCCCTTTTCCAAGCATGGTGCCCTTTTCTAAGGACCAGCTCTCCTAAGAACATGCACAATGTAGGTGAGACAAAGTCTCACCATCTTTACTTCAAGGAGCACTGTGGCAGCCAGTCCTGTTTTCCTACTCAGTCTTGGTCTGGAACCTTCTCTGACACCAGTATATATACCATGGGTGACTCTGGTGGTTTTTAATATCTAGTAGCATAGCTTTCAGCTTCACTGAAGCCACCACAGGTATGATAAACTGACTGAGGAGTGGTGATTAAAAGACTTTAGAAAGGTAAATGCTTTCCTACCCAGAATGATTGGACTTCATTCTTTGGATCCTTAGCCTTACCTTTCCTTACAAAACATTGTATTTAAATTCTTACTTGTGGGTAATGTTTAGTTGTTCTCCTCACCCCTCCCACTCATAGGGAACTCCCTATACTTAACATGTTTTTTTCCCCCTTCTCAGTATTATAGTGAACAAAACAATGGATTTTCCCTTCCTGTCTATTAACCTACCTCTTGGTCTCAGCTAAGGCTTTGGGGTTTTGCTTTCTGTTTGTTTGTTTAATAACTCCCTTTGTATCATTTCTTTCAGGTTAAAATAATAAAAATTTTAATCTTTTGGTCCCCAGGATTATACAATTTTAACAGTGAGAAAAGAAATTTTTATTTGAGCAGGCGGGGAGCAGAAATATTTGTCAGTATTAGTAAGATGGTTTACAAAAGCAGGGTGTTTAACTCTTACGTTATCGTGAAAGGGCATCAAAAGCTGATGACCTAAACACCGGACATTGAGCAGAGTTTGGACTGTATTGCCTTAGGGAACTTACCATTTGAACTAAACATAGAACTAGTGCAACATGGGACACAAATCAAACTCAGAAAGCTCAGACTCATTGCTGTTAAATCAGAAGACCCTCCAGACCTTTTTCCTGTGGAACCACTAGTGGATTTGTCCCACTCAAGAGGCTCTGCTTTTGTTTTAATGCGAATCCCTTAAGACTTTGTCTCCCGGGCTCTCAAAAGATATATAGCATCAGACTCTCAATGACCTCTTTAAAGTGCTAAAGAGTATGAATGTGAGTTTAAAGGCTTAGGTATGCCAGACCCACGCCATGATATTTTTTAGTTGCTTTATATTCATATGAAAGTTGGACAATAAATGAGGAAGACAGAAGAAGAATTGATGCCTTTGAGTTTTAGTGTTGATGAAGAACATTGAGTATCCCACAGACTGCCAAAAGAAGCTGCAAATAGGGGGGTGGGCAGGGAGTAAAGTGCAACAATGAATAAATAGAAATCCAAAGTCTCTGTAAACTTTAAAATAAAAAAAAAAAACACAACCAAAACCAATAAGCAAACTTATTTTGGAAGAAGTGCAGCCAGGGTGTTTCTTAGATGTAAGGGTGGTGAAACTGTCTTGCAAACTTTTGAGTATGGTTTGGCAAGGTGGAAGGTCAGCAAAGTAGAGGAAGACTTTCAAGGAGATGGATTGACAAAGCTGGGATTAGGAGAATGGGCAGGATTGGGTCTGGTTTCAATGTGATACACATAGGGCGGCCCAGAGTTGGGTCAAGCCAGTGGCACCTCACAACTATGGACTTTAGTAATGGTTTTCGTGAGCATGTGTAAAGCACTGAACAGTGTCTGGTGTGTAGAAAACATGTAATTAGTTACTGCCATAATTTGCCATGTATTTATTTAATGGCAAAGTAGTTGTGGTATGGTTAACTGACAAAATTATTTAAATGCTTTCTCTGTTATGATCCCCTGAGCACTTGTGTCAAGAATTGCCTAGGATCTGAGTTTTTGCTCTACTTGAAAAGCTAATAAATTAGTCTTCCTGCTTCAAGGACGGCAACAGAAAATTTGTTGAGTCTGAGACAGAAATGACTACAGCAATTGCAGTTTGTCTGCATTTCCACCAGTTTTGAAAATTCCATTTTTGACAGTGTCATGTGAAGGGGTCAGATGACAGCTGCATACTTGGAAGGTTGCATTTCAGGAGAGATAAGGTTTGTTGTTAGGTGCCACTGAGTTGACTATGACTCATAGTTACCTATGGACAAATCTGAACCTTGCCCTATTCTGTATCAGCCCTGAGATCTCGGATAAACTCAAGGCCATTGTTACAATCACTGTATCAATCTATCTTTTTGAGGACTATATGATCTTTCCCTCTCTGCTGAGGCTTGAGGTCTTTTTCCAAGGACTGGCCCGTCCTGACAACATGCCTAAAGTATGTAAGACTGAGTCTCACCATCCTTGCTATACTTCCTCAGAGACAAATTTGTTAGTACTTTTGGCAATGTATAATCTCAGCACTGCCCACCAATGCCACACTTTGAAGGCATTGATTCTTCTGTATTCATTGTCTAACTTTCAGATGTATAGAAATTAAAAAAGACTATAGTGTGGTTCAGGTACACCTTAGTCTTTAAACATATATCCTTGCTCTTTAGTGCTTTAAATAAAGGTCCTTGACAGCAAATTTCCCAAAAGCAGC